TATACAGTGTTTAATAAGGACATGATGGAAAATCGTAGGCTACCCTGTAGCTTTTCAACAAGTAAAGTCCTATAAAAAGTCATTGTGTAATAAAATGCCTCCGACTGCCAAGGTGAGCGTCATAACCACTAGACCACGAAGGCTTCATGGTGGTTGAAATAACCGTCGGGAACATTGTATTACACAATGCTACGCCTCCAGAGGGCGTTCGGCCAGATAAATCTGGCAATAATGCCTCCGACGGGATTTTATTACACAATGACTTTTTATAGGACTACAGGGTAGCCTAAAATGTTCCATTATGTCCTTATTAAACACGGTATATGTACCTTTGATCATTTATATTATTTATTCAACAGTGTTAACGGCTAACTTCCTTCAATATCATATATATATATATAATATGTATATAATTTTTTTCCCCCTTTGATGTTAATCATTATTATTATATACTTTATTTGATTTTCTTTATTGTGAACTTTTACACTGCCACGCTGCAGATAAATTGTTTGATAAGTTTGGAGACTCCTCGATGATAATGCTGTGCCTTGTCAGGAGCCTCCGTGTGAAATATTGAATTAAAAAAAAAAATGAAAATTCAGTTTGACACTCCATCCCACTTATATGACCACCCCTACTGTATATTGGTGTACTGTAGCCACATGTGTGCTGAACTTTGAACATTATGGCGCTCACTTTTTTGTGTTGGCTTGACATACTGCACTAAATAGTAATTACATCTCAATATCTTATACAGTTATGAAATATCAATTATTTTTTATTTAATATCAACGGTTTTTGCTTCTACTGTAGGTTCAAAGGCTGGAAACAAGGAATCGCAAAATGAAAATAGAGAATCGCAAAATAAAGATCAAACTAAAAAAAGAACGAGCTGCAAAGGAACGTTTAGCCAAACGTGTAGCTTCCCTCCAATCAAAGGTATACAGAAGTTGGTCTAATCCTTAGATGCAAGTTGAGTGCTGAGGATTTCCTCACAGTGTGTATACACTGCACTTCAGCTGTCAGGTCTCCAGGGCCTAGACTAGAACTAATAATAATAGTATTTGTCCTATTAAGATCATGTTTATTTCTCCAGGTATTTCATAATGTATTAAATAATATTAACTCGCCTTAACCTGTTTTTACTTTATGGGGAACCACCCCCATCAGCTATATATAAAATTAAATTAATAATATCTTATTGAGAATAAGAAAATCAATTACCCAGCTTGGTCTCATAGCATAACTGGTAGGGCAGTGAAGATAATCACACCAAAAATACTCCCATCCTTCTGTCCTATCAGAGAGTTGGGTTCAAATCCCAAATGGAGACAATACATTTTTTCGAAAAAAAGTTATGCAAGTTTGTTGACTCAACACATACAGAATTTTTAAGCTTTGTCTACACTATCAATTTACGTGACAAATAACTGTAGTTGCTCATACTTGAGTGTAATATGAATTCATCATCCCCATATATGGGCATATCACACTAATCTCGATGGATTTGGCAAGATGGACCAATTTAGATAAAATATAGCTCCTATATACCTCCCAGATATTGGGGGAAAGTCCCGTTTGGGGGCGTTTTTCAAAATGGCCGCCTGTTGATTTGGATGCTTGTTGCTGCGAAGCAGCCAATTCATATTCTTAACAGCAATTTGACATCTGAAAGGTCATTGTCAAAAAACGAGTGCCTAAAAGCGGAATTTCCTTCTTTCGTTCTGCCGGGTAAAATCAATTACTTTAGGCGACGTTTGTAGACTAACCTACTCGTACCAACGTCCGTATGTCGCGCTAGCCTTATCCTACTCTAGGCCTAGACTAGCTAGGATGGTATAGGCATAGCCTTGAAGGGACGAAGGTCCCAATGAAAAACAACGTCGCTCTTTGATAGCTAACATTGTCTATTTAACATCACAATAATTCATTATTAGACCTATAGTTGTTTTTTGAATTGTACTCCACAAATCTCAGCCGATACCTCGCACAACTGGCTAACATCTCTATCTATTGTCGTGATGTCATGGCTCGCTGGCTCACACTTGTGATATGTCTCGCACTTGTGATCAAATAACACGCTGGCTCGCACTTTGGCAACACTCTTTGGCAGTCAACTCGCCCAGAAAACCCGCCCTTGGAAACTTGCCCCATAAAAAAAATGTACACTTTCTAGACCATGCAGTCTTCAAAATAAAAATTGTAACCTTTGGTAATCAACTACATTTTCGACATACATAGAAATTTTTGAAACTTTATTAAAAAAAACCCTAAACCATAATTCACCACACTATAGGCCTAGACACTTTTTGACAAAAATGAAAAATTACGACTTTGTTACCCAATGAGAAGTGTTCTAATATAGACAATGGGTCGTGTCTCATTATTTGTTATAGTTTTATTATTCATTATTTTCACTTGGCTTGTATACCGGTAAATACGAAGAACATTTATATGCAGTTGTACTTCGCAGCACCTTACTTGCAATTTGCAATTTCTAGTATATCGATAACCACTGGTCAGAGAGACTTGATTTTGGTCTCAAATTATTCACAATATGCATGTTCCTATTTGTTGTAATACAAAAATAGCGGGAAATGCGGTTTTTGAAAGTTTGACCTTTGATCTTGTATTGTCATATCTCGGTAACTACTGGTCACAGAGACTCACAATTGATTGCAAATTGTTCAGGAGATTCATGTTTATATTCGTCTTAATGAAAAAAATATTCAAATAGTGATCGGAAATGGTACATTCTGATCTTTGAACTGTTGTAGGGTCATTCCATGTCAAATCAATCAGATTTAAAAAAAAAAAAATTCCTGTATGACGGTCTCAGATTTTGATGAAACTCCATAAAAATGATCCACTGTATGCTAAACCAACAACAAAAAAATTAGCCTCATAGGATATCTAGTTTTCGAGATATTGACTCCTCCAAAATATGGGGCGTGGTTCTTCAAGATGTGCAAACGCAATTTACTTCAACTTTGGAAGCTTAAACTCGAGATTGGTAATAGCTACCAGGGTCAAACTTGGTATTCTAACTTATTTTTCGCCATATTTTACAAATATCTAATATTTAATATTAGATTAACAGTTATCCCTTCCCTTTTGAAGTTATCTGCACTCAAAGTAGCCGCTTTGTTTAACGATGCAAATTTTTTTGTGATTTTCGAGGTCACCCTGCGTCTATATGAGTGGGTATATACCCCTCATATTACAGATATAGTATCTATGTGTAGTTGTCTCTAGCCACATGCAAGCACAGGCTGATCAAATCAATTAAAATTGAATGGCATATATTCAAAGTTGGGACCAGATCTATAAAAGTGAAAAACGTCAATGTTTCTCAACAACAGATCGTCTTGTGGAAAGTTAAAATCTTTTCTTAAATTTACCCCAGTTAATCAGAGATACATTGGATCAACCTATAAACTAGCTCATGGCTAGATACTATGTTGAAAACTACACATATTTCAACATAATAGGAAATCACAAACATTTTTAAGAATTGGGTCATTCCATGCCAAACAAACAAATGCATTACACCATGGGTCATAGATTTTTTAAAAATTTTTTGCCACATTGACTCAGTGATATAGATATCTATGTGAACCTGAAATTTTGAGACTCGCCAATTCATTTATTTTCCTGTAGTGGCAGTTTGAAGTTAAGGGGGCGTGGCCCAAAATAAATATGAATATAATACGAATTCTAGGAAGTTTCTATTCATGAGTCGAACATGAATATATCCATAAAACAGAACAGAAAGTTTCCAGAAAATAATTGACCATATATTGGCCACAAAAAATGATGTGATGTCCCCAATTGCCATGTGCTGTGACTTACCAATAATAAGGGCCGTCACACACAATACAAATTTGATGAGGTTATTTATTACCCAGGTTGAAGTTGCACATTAAGAATAAACCAGAAATAACTTTAGATAAATAAATTTGAAATTCATATAAAATTTAATGGGTCTATGACATAGATTTAGAAAATTAAAACAAAATATTTACATAAAAGTAGGGTATTATTGTTGATGATGTGTTCAAAAAACATGTTTTTAAGAATTTAAAATCAGCAGTAAAAGGTGTCCTACACCACAAAAGGTTAAAGGGGTTGTTGATGATATTAGCATACGAAAATCAAAGGTAATTTGAGGCACACCCCCTTTGCGTCGAATTGCCGCTACGAGAAAACGAAAAGGGAATTTAAGTCTCAAAACTTTAGGTTTTCTATTCACAAGGCCGGAGAGTGCAGAAATAAAAAATCCATAACCTGCAATGTTGTAATGCATTTGCTGAGAGGCCACGCCCCCTTAACCTCTAATTGCCGCTACAGGAAAACGAATGAATTGGCGAGTCTCAAAATTTCAGGTTTTTCAATTCACATAGATATCTATATCACTGAGACAGTGTCCAAAAAAATTTAAAATCTGTGACCCTGGTGTAATGCATTTGTTGAGTTGGCATAGAATGACCCAACTCTCAAAAACTTTAGTGATTTCCGATTATTTTATTGTGTAGTTTTCAACATAGTATCTAACCATGAAGGAGCTGAGTACCAAAGCTGAAACTTGGTTTATAGGTAGATCTAATATATCTGATTAACTGGGGTAAATTTAAGAAAAGATTTTAAATGTCCAAATGACGATCCGTTGTTTGGGAAACATAGGCGTTTTTCACTTTTATAGATCTGGTCCCAACTTTGAATATATGCCATTCAATTTTAATTGAGTTGATCAGCCTGCGCTTGCATGTGGCTAGAGACAACTACACTTAGATAATATATCTGTAATATGAAGTGTATGTACCCACTCAAATAGACTCAGGGTGACCTCGAAAATCACAAAAAAATTTGCATCATTAAACAAAGCGGCTACTTTGAGTGCAGATAACTTCAAAAGGGAATGGATAACTGTTAATCTAAGGCCATATTTGTAAAATATGGTTGATTTGACATGGAATGACCCTACAATAGGTCAAAGGTCAGAATGTACCATTTCCGGTCACTATTTGAATATTTTTTTCGTTAAGACGAATATAAACATGAATCTCCTGAACAATTTGCAATCAATTGTGAGTCTCTGTGACCAGTAGTTACCGAGATATGACAATACAAGATCAAAGGTCAAACTTTCAAAAATCGCATTTCCCGCCATTTTGTGATAAGAAGTTGTATTACAACAAATAGGAACATGCATATTGTGAACAATTTGAGACCAAAATCAAATCTCTCTGATCAGTGGTTATCGAGATACAAGTGTCCAAATCAACAGGGGGGCAATTTTGAAAAACGTCCCCAAACGAGACTTTCCCCCCATATCTGGGAGGTATATAGGAGCTATATTTTGTCTGAATTGGTCCATCTTGCCAAAGCCATCGAGAAAAAAAGGTATCCTAAAATTAGTCACGGATCTCATGAAAATGACTCTACTATTTGTATTATGATTTACAGAGTAACTGAGTGATCTTGCCTCAGACCCAGCTAGCACACCATATCAGCTATAACTCTTAAATGTTGTGCGTACAATAATAATTAAAGTTGGAATAAAAAACATTTATTTACAATCACAGTAACTCACTGGTTACTTGTATCGTGGTAGCAAATGAAAGCACTGTAAATTATTACAGTATTATTATACAGTAGTCAGTGACAAGTGTAAATTAACTCTTCCCTGATGTTATACAGTTTAACCTCCCTGTGTGACCACCTTTCGTAAGTGATACCTCCCTTAACGTTGACTCTCATAATATGGTCCAGTTTTTTCTCTGCATTTGATACCTTTCATAAGAGGTTTTATAGAAATTAGTCAGCTCCCTGGCCTCAGCCTACTTGTTCGCTAAGCTTGACCCCCTCAAATTTTACCCTGGCTGTGCCCTGAACAGGGGTGATCCAGGATGCTCGAAAGGTGCAATAGGGTAAGGTGATCCAGGGCCCTCTTTAAAAAAAAAAAATTTTGTCTTAGATGCCCAGAAAAATTCTGTTGGTCGGATGTACAGTAACTTCATCCAATTACTCTCTATTTCATGAATATAAAACCCTTCAAATCTTACTTATAAATCTTCAGAAATTATATAAAATGATATATCAGCTAAAAAAATTTCATACATATTTCAGACTGAATTCCAGACCCAACAACAAGAGGAGTTGGAACATACCAAACTGCACCTCAGCCATAGAATTAGCCTTAAAGAATCCCATCAGAGATGTGACAGTCTTTCAAATGATGCAGAGCAACTTGAACATAACAAGCAGCAGTGTACACCCCTTAGCACCAACTTGAAAGAATCTCAGCAAAAATCTGAAAGCCTACAGCATGAAGACAAATCTGCTGAACAGCAGGCCAATTTGCTTCAGACTGATAATAATCGCTTAAAAAATGAGCTGAGTAAATTGAATTCACAATTGCAAGGTAAAGTACAGTTATGTTCATTGAGGTCTGCTTTGGTAAATCTATTTGGTTAAAAATGAAACAACCAAATAAACCTATTAATAGCAGTAAAAAAGACGTCTCTAAATTGTTGCAGTATAACACACGTTTGCCTATTGACAAATGGTTAAACAGAGACAAGTGACATAATATCCTACCGCATTGCTCTATATAAAAACCCTGTGCAAAATTATTCCTTATAAGCTGTGTTATGAGAGAAAATAATAGATATTAAAAAAGAAGGCCCAACGTGAAATGATCATAATTAAGCAAGGTTTAACAATTACGAACAACTTGTGTTATCAAAGGTAATGTGTTGTTTTACCTTGATGTATTATTCCATTACTCTCTAGATCGTCCACAGTCTCAGCAAGTAGTACATATACCAACAGGTATATTTATGGATTTTTTTAAATATATATATCTGGTGTAAGATGATGCTGGTTTTATTGAAAACAAACATTTTGTTGCAACAAACCGGTTTTAAAAGTCATCTGTACTGCTGGATAATGGTTTAAAATTTAATCTCATGCTATTATTTTTCCCAAATCTCCAGTCACTTATTTCATTATTTATTCGATTTTTTAAACAACGGTTGCATAAACAGAAAGTGAAAAAAGGTACTGAAATTTAGGGAGACCAGGGATCATTTTTTTTTTTTTTTTTTTTTTTTTTTTTGTGGAAGTTTTTTTTTTTTTTTAAGGGGG